TTGCTTTTCAGTGAATCCACCTGTAAAGTGGCACAATACTTAGAAACGGGCGTCTCCATGCCCTTTCGAGTGTGTGCCCGGTGGGGAAGTGGGAATTGCGTCACCTCAAATTTAGGTTTGGTTTTGCTTTTTAAAAAGACCAGAAAACATTCCCATCAAATTAAAAATAAATAAATCCAGAGACCACAAGTGACAAACAACCCCCGCAAACACATCCCCCTGTACGCTCTGTAGCTCACACATTGTAATGCTGTATTAGGGTAGGACAGCCAGAGAGCGAAACTGACTAGGAATTTAAATGACCCCAACCAGGCTATTTTCATTGCAGTGGGTCAGTTCAGGAGCGCTGACTCCATTTCTACGCAAGTCCCGGCTCTCTCTGGAGTCAGTTGCAGTTTTGCAAAGTTGAGAACTTCCAGATTTGGCCTAAAGTTTGTGCAGGTTTTTAGAAGGCGCATCAGGTACCCGATGGGCCAGGGCAGTCCGTTGGCCCCCACAATATGAAAAGCAAAATAGATCCCATTAGAGACCAAGTGATGGGGAAGACACGGCATCTGATGTGAATTCTGCTGGCACTCAGCCCGGGGCAAGAGAGGAAGCAGGAGCATCCTAACATAGGTCTCATTGCTGTGCTGATTGTGCTCCTCTTAGCTTCAATGGGTGCTTTGCCCCTGACTTCCAGTAGGCTCAAGCCTGCTAGCATCTGTTGTCAGAGGAGGGCGCTGGGGATAACGGCAGAAGCAGAGAGAGCAGCCGAATGCCTGTATAACATACTTGCAAAGTATACATCCCCTACACAGAGGATAAGAGCCTGCTATTGCTACCAGCCAAGAGAGAGAGGTTAACGTTTAGCTCATGTGGTAGAGGTCTGGGCTCTGGGTTCTAGGTTCAAGCCCTGCTGATAACCGGGTGGTGGGAGTTACCACTGCTCTTTCCTGCTCCCAGGAAGGCCAGACTAAGCTCCAGACAGCCACTTGTAACTTTCCCTCTCAGATACTAGAAGCTGGTACATTTATAATCTACCTGCAGAGGCAGCCATCCCCACGTGGAAACATCTATCAACGCACTTGCATGACCCCTGTCATCAGAGTATCTGAGCCCCTCACAGTCCACAGTATATTTATGCTCACAGCACCACTGGGGGGTTGAGCGAAGCTACTGCCCCAGTTGTACAGCTGGGGAACTGAGTCACAGAGAGGCTAAGAGACTTGCCCACGGTCACCCAATATGCCTGTGGCAGAGCTGGGCAATGAGCTCGGCTCTCCCATATCCCCAGACAGGGAACTAATCACTCCACCATCCTTCCTGCCTCAGGAAAAGCAGGGCAATTTCTCCCTTCCTGCCGCAGGCCCGATTCCCCTCTCACACACAGCAATGCAAACCAGAAGCAACTCCCCTGTCAATGACACAGTTACAGTGGTGTGAGGTCAGGCCCGGTCTCTCTGAGTGTAGGCATGCATCAACACCTGTGTGTGCAGATAATGCCTGGAGGAGCGTCCTCCATACACCCAGGCGTATCATCCACGAGTTGACTCTCAAGACCCAACTAAGTCAGCCAGTTGGCTTTAATAATAATTTAATCTGAATAATGCAAAGTACTCCACGTAGGAAGGAAAGTACTCCAGAGGACTCCACTTAGGAAGGAACAATCAGTTGCACACATACAAAATGGGAAATGACTGCCTAGGAAGGAGTACCGCGGAAAGGGATCTGGGGGTCATAGTGGATTACAAGCTAAATATGAGTCAACAGGGTAACGCTGTTGCTAAAAAAGCAAACATCATTCTGGGCTGTATTAGCTGGAGTGTTGTAAACAAGACACGAGAAGTAATTCTTCCGCTCTACTTCGTGCTGATTAGGCCTCAACTGGAGTATCGTGTCCAGTTCAGAGCGCCATGTTTCAGGAAAGATGTGGACAAATTGGAGAAAGTCCAGAGAAGAGCAACACAAATGATTAAAGGTCTAGAAAACATGACCTATGAGGGAAGATTGAAAAAACTGGGTTTGTTTAGTCTGGAGAAGAGAAGACTGAGAGGGGACATGAGAACAGTTTTCAAGTACATAAAAGGTTGTTACAAGGAGGAGGGAGAAAAATGGTTCTTCTTATCCTCTGAGGATAGGACAAGAAGCAATGGGCTTAATTTGCAGCAAGGGTGGTTTAGGTTGGACATTAGGAAAAACTTCCTGTCAGAGTGGTTAAGCACTGGAATAAATTGCCTACGGAGGTTGTGGAATCTCCATCATTGGAGACTTTTAAGAGCAGGTTGGACAAACACCTGTCAGGGATGGTCTAGATAATACTTAGTCCTGCCTTGAGTGCAGGGGACCGGACTAGATGACCTCTCGACATCCCTTCCAGTTCTATGATTCTAATCCCTGTCATCCTTCTCTAGCATCACAGGATCTCACAGCCCTTTACAAATATTACTGACTTAATCTACATAGCTGTGCCACAAGGCTGGACTGTATTAGCCTCATTTTACAGGTGGGGAAACTGAGGCAGAAACTTAGCCCCAGAAGCCCTGGTTGGTTCCCAGTCTCCTGTTCTAACCACTGGACCCTACAGCCCTTCCCAAGCTGTAAATAGAACCCAGTAGTCCTAATTTCAGGCCCCTTGCTCTAATCACTAGACCCCACTCCCCGACCCAAGCTGGGAATTGAACCCAGGAATCCTGGTTCTGAGCCTGCTATCCAGCCCACTAGACAATGCTCCCTCCTACCACGGGTGCTGTCTGCAATGGTGGGGTTTTGCAGCCTACGTGCTAGTTTTTCTTGCTGAAAGAGAAACCACTTTAGACATGCCAAGGAGTTTTCCCAAAGCATCAAGCTTGGATTTGCCGAGGCCTCCTATGGCCAGGTATCCAGCCCACAGCAACCCTCAAAAACAGGGGCTTCTAGCCCATTGGCTACTCAGCAGGCTGATGCTCCTCTGCCAGCTGGAACAGGGGGCTCTCATGTTAACAGGCATTAAAGCCAACTGAGCTGCAGGTGCTTATGGCCTGGCGCCAAGATCTTGGGCCGTGGAAATGCTCCCAGGACATTCTCAGCCCGGGCATGGCTGGGATCTGAGGAATCCATGGGTATCAGAGTTTACAGTCTGTCCACACACTCCCCCCAGCCCAGTCTGGCTTCCAGCCATTTCCTGCAGCAACTCCTGCTCCAGGAGGCTGGGACTAAAATCACCATCAACTCCTGCCATCCAGCGCTCGAACCCCACTCCCTGCAGTGAACCTCCGCGGCCCTGCGGATGTTGCCAACTCCCCATAGCTAGTTCTCCTGCCCCACTGCATGAGGTGCCTCCTGGTAGAAGGTGTCAAGACTGGGGTAGCTTGGAATGCCTCCGGCAGCTAATTAACCTGTCCTGCTCCTGACAGTGCCTCCTACTAGCAGAGGCTGAGAGTGGAGAACCTGGGAGCTCCTACCCCATGCCACACAGCGCCTCCTGTTGGGAGAGGCTGGGATGGAGTAGCTGGGGGCTCCCCATGCAGCCAGCTCTCCTGCCTCCTCCCCCTGCAGAGAATCTGTGTTCAGGCCTCAGAGATACATCTCAAATGCCTCCCCAGGATCCAGCTTTCCCCCCCGCCACCAGCCACTGACCAGATGAGCCGCCTCCCGGTTCCTTTGATAGCTCCGAGGGAAGAATCAAAGGCTGACAGCGGAGGGAGGGTGGCCAGAGGAAGCCCCGGGACACCCCCTCTTGCTGCAGGCCCGGCGCGAGCCACCCGAACGGCAAGCAGACGGCTGGGACCTGTTGAGCACCTGGCATCTGGCTCCCAGATGGTCAGTCACCAGTGCTGAGGCAGGGGCCGCCCCGGAGGAGCCAGGAACCCAGCGGAATTCCACCGGTGAGCTGGGCGCTGCTCGCCAAGGGCTGCCAGCGCCTGACGGTGAACCACGGCAGAAGGGGGCAGACCGGGCACTGATCCTCCACTGCCACAGGAAACCCTGTTGCTCGTCCTGCCCAGGGCTGAGACCTGAGCAGCTGAGGCAGGGGAAGGGGGGTGCTAGTTAGAACAGACACACCAGCACCAGCCACTCCGGCCGGTTACCTGGAGCACCGAGCCGCGGCAAGCCCGCTGCGTCCCCTCCCAGGTGATTACACCTGGAGCCAGCGGTTCTGAGGGGACGAAGCTGCTGGAGTCCTGCGGGGGAAACACAATTCCCAGGCCCATTCGGGGCCGCCGAGCCATGTCCCTCCATTGCCTGATCTCGCTGCTTCTCCCCCCTCCCTCCACCTGTTGTCTTTCTAAACACGAAGCTCTTTGCAGCAGGCACCCACATCTCCTATGGGATTGCCCAGCCCCCGACTCAGCACGGCCCTGATCCTGAGCCTGGTTCTCCGGGCCCTGCATCCATATGCAAACAATAAGGTCAGCATCGCTACACCACAGAGGCCCTGTCTATGAAGAGGCACAGCACGCTCGGATTTCTGAGTCACTGCACAAATATCCAGGCAAGGGTCGGGGGGGGGGCATCTGCACCCTCACATGCGCCAACCCCCACCCACCCGTGATCACGCCGACCGGTGGCAACACGTCAGACAGGCCCTCCCGCTCCTTCTCCCCAACCCGCAAATGCCCAGGGCCGTGGTTAGAGAGGAAGATCCTGCCACACTCCCCACCTCCCCCAGCACGCAGCCCCCTGGCTCCCCGGCCTCGTGGAGCCCAAGCTGTCACCTTGGCCGGCAGGACCAGCAGGGGCAAGGGGAGGTTGTATCCAGGTGGAGGGAGAAGCCAGCCCCGATAGGCCAGCTCCTGAGAAGAGGCCGGGGCATCATCAGCAGGAGATGAGCCCTGAATCCAACCTCAGCAGGCTTTGACGGATGGATGCGGGGGGACAGGGTGGTTGGCTTAGTGGGGAGGGGAGATGCTATATAAGGCTATATAAACAGAAGGCTATATAAGTACCTAGACAGACAGACAGATGGCTGGATGCACCCGGTCTCCCCATAGCCTCCAACACATGCCCGGGGCCGGAGCAGGGGGAAAAGCGGTACTTACTCCATTTTCCCAGCCTCTGCAATCCCCCAGCTGCCTCACCCTCTGGCTCGCAGCCCTGCGCGGATCCAGGCGAAGCTCTGGAGGGAAAGGCAAATGCCAGCCCTGGGCGAGTCCCCCCCTTGCTGTCTCTCCGCTCACAGGCAGCAGGCTGTGGGAGAGGTGGCAAGCGGCTGGTGGCCGTTCAGCATCCACAGCTGTGTTATTGTCCTGAGTGCGGCTGGCTGGCGGTGGATGGCTGAGCTGGGGATGTGAAGGGATTTTTTTTTCCCTCCCCTTCCCCTTCTCCAGCATCCTAACAGCACCTTCTGCTGGGCGTCGCCTGTCACTGCCGCTGCTCGGAGAGTCTCCAGGAACATAAGGCTCAGTGGAGACCTTGAGCAGCGCCTGGACATGTTCAATAAGGAGGCTGCATCCCTTCCAAGTGCCTGACAGCTTGTGAGCACCAACCCAGACCTGGCTCCCCTGCATCCTGCAACCTGCCGGGGCAGGGATGCACTCACCGAGCTAGTAGGACTTATTTCCCGCCCCGCCTCCCCCGCCCCCCCTCCCCGATCCCATTTCCTTAACATCCGTGTGTCTCCAAATTCCTAAGCAAGCTTCACTTGACAGCCTGCAGGTCCGGCCTTGACTCAGCATGGTGCAAAACCAGCCTGCTCGGTCTTACCCGCTGCAGGGAGAGGGGACGGAAGGAGGGACTGGGGCATTTCGATTTCTTTACAATGACCGCAGCTGCCGTTCTGAGCTCACCTGGGAAATGTGGTGGTGTTGTTCTGAAATGAAAGTACAGGGCTCCTTGCATCCCCAGCGTGCTTTACCAGCCCTATCTGGACAGTGCTAGAAATGCAGCCAGCTCTGGGGTGGAGAAACAGGAGCTGAGAAGGAACCCAGCGTGCTGCATCATATTCGTACAGTCAGAAATGCAGCCAGCTCTGGGATGGCAGTGAGGTAGCCAAAACCATGCACAACACAGGGGGCGGGTGAGGGGAAATTTTGGTTAAGCAAATAGGGCAAAGCTCAGCTCTCCCGCAAGTCACCATCAGAACGTTATATTCTTCACTGCTGAGCTCTGGCCTGGGGCTCAGAAGAGCTGGGCTGCATTTCTGACCTTGCTAGTTTCCCTGCATGGCCTTGAGGAAGGCTCTTCCCTTTTCTGGGCCTCAGCTTCTCTGTGTGGAACACAGGGATAATAATCAGGGCCTAGCACAACGTGGCTCTGATCTCAGTTTGGGTCTCTAGGCGCAGCTATTATACCAATAATCGTCCAAAAAACCATTCCACAGGAGGGAGGAGTTGACCCTTTTGGGATGTGAACCATGGGCAACTGAAAAAAAAATGCTTAGACCATAAAGCCACCTGCAATGAGTAAGGGAAGCAGTGTGGCCTAGTGGACAGAACACTGGGCTGGGACTCAAGAAATGGAGGGTTTATTCCCTGCTCTGCTACTGAAGACCTCAAGGGCTGAAATGTAGAGCAGGCTTTGGAATTTCTTCAACTATACAAAAAGGATCTGAAATTTGCATCCCACACGAGGGGCAAAAATGGTAGGGAAATTCTCCAGACCCAGCTGGATGAAGAACCGTAGTAAAAAGGTTATTAGGAGTAAGCAGAGAGCCTGTAGGGAATGGAAGAAAAGATTGATCAGCAAAGAAAGTGACATTTTGGAGTTAGAAAATGTAGGGATGACGTGTGAATTGCTAGAAGCCAAGCTGAATTAGCGCTTGCCAATGAAATGAAAATAAATAAGAAGAGGTTTTTTAGTCATAGAAATATAAAGAGAATAAGGAAGGCTGAGGTTGGGCCCTACGCAGAGTGGATGGGAAGGAGATTAAAGATAATCTAGGTATGGCCTCAACACTAAAATGAATACTTTGCCTTGGTTTTCAAAAAGGATGATAACGTGGAACATAGGCATGAAGGCAGGACAGTTTATGGAAATGAGTGTACAAAAATTGAAATGACCTCCTGAGGTGAAAGAAAAACTTAAAGCACTTAATGAACTCCAATCAGGGCAGGGCAGATCATTTCCTTCCCAGAATACTGGCAGAACTGGTGCACGAGATTGCGTGTCCGGTAGTAGGGATTCTTAATAAATCTACCTATTTGCAGGCAGCACCACATGACTGGAGAATCGCTAATGTCAGACCTATATTTAAGAAAGGGGGAAAAAATAAATTAGGCAATTACAAACCTGTTAGTCTGACCTCAGTAGTATCCAAGGCTTTGGGACAAAATTATAAAAGGAAAAAAATATTAAAGAGATGGAGGTAAACAGGAAAGGAGATGGAATACAACCTAGGTTTATCAAAGGTAGATCATGCCAGCATAACCTGATTCCCTTCTTTGGGAAAAAAGCTGATTTTTTAGATAAGGGAAAGGCAGCAGATCTAATATACTTGGCCTTTAGTAAAGCATTTGACTTGATACCAAATGGGAAATTTTTCAAAGTGGAGAAGAGGGGGATTAATATCAGAATTGTAAACTTCATAAGAAACTGGCAAAAGGGGAGAAGGTAACAAGTTGCTCTGAAAGATGAATTGTCAGACTAGAGGAGTTCCTCCAGGATCGGTCTGGGGACCAATTCTATTCAATATTTTTATTATTTACATCGGCATAAAAAGTAGGAGTGTGCTACTGACCTGTATTGCCAATACAGAGCTGGGAGGCATCGTCAATACAGGGGAGGATCGGAATATTATACAGGAAGATCTGGATGACTCTGAAGACTGGAGAGACAATGGTATGAAATTCAGCAGTACCAAGTGCAAGGTCTAATAGACTTAGGGTCTAATAAGAAGAATTTCTGCTACAAACTGGGGCTCATCGGTTGGAAGCAACAGAAGAGAGAGAGACCTGGGTGGGTGAGTTGATCACAGGACAACTATGAGCTAGCAAATGAGATGTGGCTGTGAAAAAGGCAGATGCGACCCTAGGATGTATCAGGCAAGGCATTTCCAGTAGAGATGGAGAAGTATTAATGCCATTGTACAAGGCCCAGGTAAGACCTTGTTTGAAATACTGTGCACAGTTCTCGTCATCCATATTCAAGAAAGATGAATTCAAACTGAAACAGATGTGGAGACAAGCTACTAGCATGATCAGGGACAGAGCGGGAGGGGGGTCCTATCTTACGAGAGGAGCCAGAAAGAGCTTGGCATGTTTAGCATTGCAAATTGAAGGCTGAAAGGGGATGTGATCACTCTATAAATACATCAGGGAGATATATACCAGGGCCAGTGAAGAGCTATTGCAGCCACAGGACAATGGTGGCACAAGAACAAATGGGTATAAATGGGCCATGAACAAATTCAGGTTTTCCAACCATCGGAGAAGGGAGGTTCTGGAACAACCTCCCAATGGGAGTTGTGGGAGCAAACAACGTAATCATTTCTGAGAGAGAGCTGGATACATTGGTGAGTGTGACTGTATGATGGATTTGCTTGAGATGGTGGGGGGTAGGGCTCAGCAACCCTGGGGGGTCCCCTTCTGGTTTATGACTTGAGTTCCTAAAGCTCATGCTTCAGGGCTTTAGTTGGCCACTTGCAGGGGGTCAGGAAGGGAATTCCCCTGCCCCAATGTATGGGGGGTGGGGGTTGGTCTCCTTCCTCTGAAGCATCAGGGATAGCCACGGCTGGAGGTGGGACACTAGATGGGGAAGGCCAGGGCTCTGAGGTGGAACCAAGCATTCTCTCTCCCCTGTGTGATGCTGGCTGGGTCTTGCTCACATGCTCAGGATCTAACTGATCACCATATGTGGGGTCAGGAAAGAATTTTCACCCAGGCCAGATTGGCAGTGACCTGGGGTTTTTTTTTCCACCTTCCTCCGTGGAGCAGAGTGGCAGGTCACTTGCTGGGATTACCTGGGTACATCTCCCTTAACCAATTCCCTGCCATTGCAGGGACCTCGGGCATTGGTGCCTGTCGCTCTTCCTGGGGCACAGAATAGTCTAGTCTCTGGCGGGCCGTAATACTTTGATCTAACTCCTGTTGTTGGGTTTAGTGTGTGGCAGGTAGCTGGGTGGATGCTGGTGGCCTGTGATAACACAGGAGATTCTGCTAGCTGATCTGGTGCTCCCTTCTGGCCTTAAATTCTAGGACAAGCTGGGTGAGGGGCACTTCAGAACGGCTTCTGGCTTTCTTACAACCCTGGCTCTCTCTTGGGTTGGGTTTTTTTTTGGCCTGCCTGCCGGTGCATCTCGTTCAAATAAACTGGCCAGTTCGAAAGGCCATTCCTTGTTTCTACTTTTGGCCACCATTTAGAGGAGGGCAAGAGGAATAAGAGGGGAGATTAATGTTCGGGGCCCATAAAGAAAGTTTTTGCTGTTTTTTATTTTAAAAAGCTAGGAAAGAAAATAGCTCCCTGAGCTCCCTTGTCCTTCCTCAGTGGGTTCCTCCTCTGGGCCAGGGCCGGCTGGCTCTCAAAGAGGGTCTGCATCCTCCATGCAGCCCTCCTCAGCGAGTTTTGTCACTGGCAGCTGCCGGGAGTCCCCAGCAAGTGCAACCACGAGCTCCGCACAGAAGCAGCAAGGCTGGAGGGTGAGGTCTCAGGTTTTTTGGGGCCCTCCCTTGCTTTCTGGGAGGACTGCCCGAGTTCCTTCCCTTGCACCAGGCATTGCTGCTCATTCCAGTTGTGCCCCGGCTGCTGCATGCCCTCTGCAGCGTCTGGCTTTATGTCTTTCATCCTGTGTTTATTACACCGCTGTTGCACTGCCCCTTCCCCCCACAGGCCGAGGAGGGCCAGGATTTCTTTCCTGGGCCAGGCAGCTGTAGCTTTACGCCGACCCATGGGCTAGCAGGGAGAAAGGCATTTCAAAAACACGCAGGCAATTTTAACTTCTGCTCCCTGGGACCCGAACAGTCGTTGTTAGAGGGATGGAGTATTGTGGCTCTGCTCCTGGAGGGTTGTTTTTGCCACGACAGGTAACGCTGCATCCACCAGGGCCTTCTACCAGTGGGACTGCACCGAGAGAGGCAAGTTCGGCCACAAACAGAGAGTTGGGGCCCCAAACTGGCCACGGCTGGCGAGCGCGCCCAAAGAGGTGCTGAAATAAGGCAAGTCTGATGAAGTGAGCTGTAGCTCACGAAAGCTTATGCTCAAATAAATTGGTTAGTCTCTAAGGTGCCACAAGTACTCCTTTTCTTTTTCCGGAAAACATTGGCGTTTTAGTAGTAATCAGCAGAGAGCACATGAAGTCTGATCAAAACTGCAGCAAGTTCTCCGAATTGTCGATGGGCCCCTGCTAGGCCTGCTTCTGCTCCAGCTGTCTGGAGTCCCTGTCTCCCTCCTCTCCGTTTTCCTCCCCCCAAAGCCACATGGTGGAGAAAGGAGGCACGACCTGGATCCTACTGCCCCTACAACAGGGGTGGGTGGCTAATGCTCCGGGTGGTCCCAGCTGGGCCCCATTTGACCTCCCCAGGGTAGCAGTCCCTGCTTTGGCTGCTTGTCTTCCTCCTGGAGGGACGATGGCCGCAAAGAGACAATGGCCCAGGGTAAGTCAGGTGCCGATGGCTCTCAGGTGATTACTAGCCAGCACTGGGGTCAGCCAACAACCTGGCGGAAGACAGACTCTTCCAAGTTTTTCTGCTGGACCGTCCCCTGTGCTGACTGGGTGTTTACCCCTCTACCCTTCGCCTGCCAAGTGCCCTGGGGCAAGGCAAGGCCTTTATTTCCTCTCCCACTCCTGTCAGTTTAGACTGCAAGCCCTCTGGGGCAGGCACTGTTCTCGCTAGGGTTATACAAAGCACCACGCACAGTGGGGCCCTTGCCTCAGCAGGGGCATCCAGCTGCTCCCGTGACATAAGCATTATAAGGCTACTGGATGTCCGCTCTCTCCCCCATTGAAGACTGCACCTACAACAGTGCCCAGCTACAAATCACAGCCCCACCTTGGCTTGCAATGCTAAGGTCCGTCCCCGCCTCCACCACTGTGAGAGCTCTCCCGTCCCCCAGTAGCCACCCATCTCCCCAGGGCTGCTTGGGGGGGCTTTAGTTTCCTCCCCCAGAGGACTGCCCTTAGCAGGTGCCGGTGGCTCCTTGGGAACTGAAACCATCTAAGGTTTGAGGAATGGAGGGTGCGTTTGTATGTGGCACCCCTGGCCTCTACTGGAGGGAATCAGAACTGCTCAGCGGCCTGCAAAAACCGGCAGACCTGAGTTCTGTCCCCACCGGCACCAGGGTGGCCCCGCAGACTGCAATTCGACTTGGCTGTGGGTGCGTTTATAGTATCTAAACAAACCGCTTTGGCTGAGCGCGTACTAAATAGTGGTGTCTCTGCCAGCGGGAAGCTGAGCCAAGATGCTCTACTGAGCGCTTGGATCTACTTTATGACCTTGCTGGCTGGATACTGTGTGAACCCAGGGGAAGTGGCAGCCGCGGGAGAAGAGAGAAATTTTGGGTGCCAGGAAAGTCTGGGCTTTTTTTTCCCCCCTCAACACAACGGTTTCCTTTAAGAAACTGTCTCAGGAAGCAAAGATGGTGAATCTAAAACCACTACTAGGGTTGGGAAATCCATATGGTGAAAGATTCAAGCCTTAAGTCCAGAGCAGGAGCCTGAATTACTCCACTTTTACAGGCCTAAGAACACTGGATGAATTTGAATCCAATTAGCAGAGATAGGATCAGCGCTCCAAATCACAAACCCCTTCCTAAACACTAGCAGGAAAATCCTTTGCACACTTCTCCTGTCTCTATAGTGGGCTGACCCAAACACCTGGATCTGCATGTGAGTTTAGAATCGGGATCCAAATTTCACAGCTGACCCTTATCGCTAGAATGGGCTGGACCAAACTCTTACATCAATGGGTGGGGTTGGAATCTGGAGCCAAATTTCACAGCTGGCCCTTATCTCTCTAATGAGTTGAACCAAGCTGTCAGATCTGCAGGTGCATTTGAACAGGGAATCTAAATTCACACCAGTCCCTGATCTCTCTCATGGAAATAAAATTCTGGGTCTGATCTTCTTGGGGAGGATTTGAAATTTGGATCTCAGGTTTGTCCTGTGGGCCAAACATATAAAATTCTTCCACTGTAAGAGCCAGGAGAGCATCTGTGTAAAACCGGCCTCTTTGTACCCCTCCCACCTGCTCTCTGAGGTCCCCGATTCCCAGGTGCACACTTTATCATGTGTGCAAATACAGGGCTCCTCCCCTTAGCTTGCAGCCAATGTGCAGCTCTGGCAGAGCAAGCCGGACTCTGTCCTGCATCACGCTTGTGGCCAAGTTCTGACTGCAGAAGCTTTGGTGCTGTGGAGGTGAAGCTGGCAGGATGACTGTCCACTTCCAGCTGACATGTGCAGAAGTCACCCACTGACTAGATCTCTTGGAAGCTCCATGGGTGTGGCTGGCTGGGGTCCGTGGCAATCTTGTCTCCCTAGTTTTGATCCCTGTGGTCTTATTCCCCATTTTTATCCCAGCCCCTACATTTTGTTTGGAGTGGGTTTTGCTTTTTTTTTAAAGTAAAACTGAGCCAAACCCACCAAGTCGCACCTGGGTTTGGGGGGGAAACGCACAGTATTGTTGAGCTGTGGTACTGCAGTGCTAAGGAAAGTCTTAAGAGGTCTATTCTACCTGTTCTAGCATCTCAGAGGGGCATAAGTATCAGGGCCTAGATCCTGAGAAGTATTTAGACACCTAACTCCCAATGCGAGTTAGGTGCCTAAATACCTTTGAGGCACTGGGCCTATGATCTTAATTTTACAGATGGGGAAACTGAGGCATAGGGAAGGGAAATGACTTGGCAAAGCTCACACAGCAGGTAAGTAGCAGAGGTCAGACAAGAACTCAGGCATCTTGTGCCCCAGACTAGGACCCTAACTACTAGGCAATGTGGCCTCCCATAGTCACATGCTTTTTAATCATTATTTATTTGTATTACAGCAGCCAGAGAGCTCAGGGCCTTGTTGTGCTAGGTGCTGTACAGACATGCAGGAAGAGACAGTCCCTCCCTCCGAGTGCTTAGAGAGGTTGTTTTCCACCCAACCCCATACACTGGGCCAGGCTCACTTGACACACAACCAGGGTTGTCTTGAAACTCAACCCGGCCTCTCTCCATCTCAGGGGTTGTCCACTAGAAAATGGGCCTAAAGCAGCCCTCCCCACCTGGGCTCAGGGTTCAATTCCTGGCAGCCCCCAGCTGTCCTTGGGACAGTCCCACTCGTGGTCTCAGTCCCCATGTGTAAAATGTGGATAAGAATTCTATGTCTGTCCTGTCTGTTTCGATTGCGAGCACTTTGGGGTGGGGACTGTTCCTTGCTGTGCATGTGGGCGGGACCCGGTGTAATAGGACCTTGACTTTTCCGCCATTCCAAGGGCAGACGGGATCCCTGTGATCAGCTAGCTCCTAAATAACATATCTGCAGGACCCCTTTGCTGGGGCCTCTGCGCTGCCTGATAACACATCCGCTCCCTGCAAAGGCACAGAGCCCATGCCCTCTTTGTGTGTCTAAATTGCCCCCCTGAAGTTGCATGAACCCTGAGGTTTCTCCCTTGTGGCTGTTACCGCAGGGGCTGGGGAGAAGGGATTGCACAAGCCCGCAAACTGAAGAGGAACCAAGTCCAGCAGGGCAGGCCGAGAGCCTAGCAGCAACCTAGCTATGTGGGATAGTGGCACCGCAAGGCCCTCCCATGCCCTCCGGGCTTACTTAACCCCCAGAGCCTCAGCCATCAGCACTCACCATCCTCCCCCAGCGTGAAGGAGCAAAGAGAGCCGTCATGGGGAGCACCAGCCTGCTGCTCCTTGTGCTCATCCCGGCAGGTAAAGGAAAACAGACTATGATGCCCCTCCAGGGGAGTAGGGGCTCAGTGGGGAGGACCCATGAGGCGAGGGTGTCTGAGCACAGACGCTCCTGGGCTGAGCAATTAGATACTGAGAAGCGGCAGGGCATAGGGTCTTGAGACAGCTGCGGTGGGTGGCTATGTACAGGAAGAGGAAGTATGGCCTAGTGGTTAGTAAGTATGGCCAAGCTGGGGCTTGGCAGAGCTGGGTTCAATTCCCAGCACTGTCCCAGATGTGCAGGGTGACCTTGGGCAAGTTGCTTCAGTTCTGTGCCTCAGTTTCCCCTGTGTAAAGGGAGGGATGATAGCCCTGCCGCCCAAGGGGTTGTGAAGAGAAACGCTTCAAATGTCAAGCAGCGTTCTGACAGTGGCCATTGACTTCAGTGGGGCCAGGATTTCCCCCCATGCCCCTGAGCATAAGTACCTCAAGAGAGGTCTGATCTACTGCCCTCCGTCTGGGAGCCAGGCAGAGCTGAGCTTTAATCCCAGCATCTTCCCCATGACCTTGGATGTACTTAGGGCCTGTGCCTTAGGCTGGGGGAGAGATGTCACCTCCCGGCCCGTGGGCACAGCCCCTGTGGAAGTGAATGGAGCTGCGTCCAGTCGGATTTGACCCCGAGGGGGCGACTCGTCTGAGTCAGGGTTGCATAATCCAGCCCCTGGTGCGTCTCCCCAATGCTCTGACACAGCCATTCCCAGAGCCCCGTGGTTCCCTGCCCCTTTGGGAATCCTTGCTTTGCCCCCCCCCATCCCCCAAGATCATCCATTTTCGATGGTGGATTCTTCCTCCCGCCCCCCCCACCCAAACAGCTGTTTGGTTTGGGACAGGTGCCCTGGGGAGCTGGATTATCGGGGGGAATGAAGTCAAGCCCCATTCCCGGCCCTACATTGCTTCCATCCAGCTGGATGGCCAGCACGTCTGCGGGGGATTCCTGGTCTGGCACAAGTGGGTGATGACGGCGGCTCACTGTGTGATTCCCAGGTAAGTCACAGCGCTTTGGGGGACCCCATTTGGCCATGATGGCTGCATTCCCCTAGGATGTGAAATAAACCCTGCTCCCCTGACATTCACTGCAAGGGGTGGAGGATATCCTGCCCCACTGCTCAGCTCAGGGACCTTCCCAGGAGCCCTCAGCCCAGCCCAACAAAGCCTAAGCACCTAGTTGAAATCTCTACCCTTGCTGGGGACACAGGTTCAAATCCCAGCAGGGGCACTTCAGCCCCTGCCCCTTTCAGGTGGGCATGCCCCCCATTTCGAGCTCCCATCCCCTTATTTTCTCTGGCCTGTTCCTGGCTCCAGCCCTGTGCCAGGCAGGCCAGCCCCGGGTTGATTTCAATCCCTCTCGCTGTGCGTTTCAGACACTCCCCCTCCTTGCGTGTCGTGCTGGGGGCTCACTCCCTGAAACACCAGGAGGCCTCTCAGCAGATCTTCAGCATCCGGGAGTCCATCATGCACCCACACTTCAATGCCCGGACGGTCCACAATGACATCCGCATGCTGGAAGTGAGTTGCTCTGGTCACAACAGGAGTTTCCTTAGATCCCTGGTGGAAACAGAGAAGCTCACAACCTTGATGGAAACCTTCAGCGGCTCCAAAATTCTCAGAGTTTAGAGAGAATTTTCTTTTCTTTTTTTTTTTGGGGTGGGGGGGCGGCGGGAAATCAAACTCCCATCTTCTGTTCCTTACCCTTCCATCCTCCACCCCCACTGGGAAATCAGGCTCAAATTTCCCCCGGGTCTGATGACCATACTAAAGCCAGCAGAGGTCACAACAGGGCTGAATTGGACCCACTGCAGCAAATGCCAACCAGAGGGTTAAATGACTAATCTGTTGATGTCACGTTCACATTAAGAGTGCAGCCCACAGAGCTGGGAGGCAGGTATTTGTGTGGGGCGCAGATCAAAGCCGCTCAAAGCTGGTGGGTTCAAAGGAACGTGAGTGGTTTGCATTGGCCTTAGGTGAGACTGTGGAGGAGGAGGTGAAATACAGGGACAAAAATGAAGTCGGTTTCACTGTCATGTTGCAATCCCGGCTGTCCCCAGCCAGGGCCTGGGGTTCCCTGGGACACAGCAAGGGGCATTGCTGATGGCAGCCGCGGGACAGCCCGACATAGTTCGGCGGCAGCAGGACAGAAGCAGCCCCAGTACCAGCCCCTGTCTCCTGTCTGAAGGTGGCACAGGACTCGGGATGTGGGTCAGAACAGGAAACGCAGCCCTGGGCGGAATGGAAAAATCTCTCCCCGCCACCTGTGCAGTGGAATGAGGGAGTCTCCGGAGAGGAATAACTAAATCAGCCACTAGGTGGCCTTACAGCTCTGAAAAAAAATAAATTCAGCCCTCTGCAAGTCTGGGGGCTTTAGCGGAGTTGCACCCGCTTTCCAGCCAAGCTGGATCTGGCTCCTGGAGTGTGGAGGAAGGCAGGGAGCAGAGGCTCTGAAGGATGGATGGCTGCACCATCGCTGGCTTGACCCGAACCCTGCAGCGATCACATTCGACGGGTTCTCTTTGCGTGACTTTGCGAGTCAGCAACTTTAGTAAATGGGAGCCGCTGGGTTGCTGCTTTCAACAGCGTGTGATGCTGAGACAGGCTCCTGTGCATTCGAAGAGGCAAAACCAGAGCTGGGTGTGTGTGTGGGTGTGTGTGTGGATAAACCAAGAAATGGGACTGTATTTGTATCACAGCCCCCCAGCAGTGATTGAACCCAGGGCCGCGCCTGTCCTGCCAGCTCCACTGGCTAGGCGGGGCAGCTGTAGGCTCGTGAACCTCTTTACATGATTCAGCCACGAGCACGAGACAGACGCCCCCCGAGTATTAACATGGGTCACGTTTGCTCTCGTCTCCCCAGCTGAACAAGTCGGCCATCTTTACCCAGTTTGTGAAGCGGATCAGGCTCCCCCGACCCAACACCGACCTCTCTCCCGGGGTTGTCTGCAGAGTGCTGGGCTGGGGCGACACCTCCAATTTTGGCACCGTCCCCACCGAGCTCAGGGAGACCAAGACGACGATCGTGGACAGGAAGATCTGCAAAGCGCTGTGGGTGGGTCACGTCAACGACGACATGCTGTGTGCGGCCAGCCTCAACAGCACCCTCCAGGGGGTCTGCTCGGTAAGCGCCTTCTCCTCCTCCAGGCGCCCCTGCGGAGCCCACGCTGCCAAACCCAGCTTTGGAGGGAAGCCTGAAGCTGCTTCCGGCGCCAGTCCATAGCTGGTGCTGTGATCTTCCCCACCGTAGTGCCTTGTCCGTGCCAGCCATGACCCCTGCAGGATCAGATCCATGCCCGCTCCGATTCCAGCACTGAAGTTCTCCACCTGGTTCGGTCAGTTCCAGCCAGAACTCCAAGTTTCCTTCCAGCGCCCAGTCACCCAAGTGGTTTTTAGACTTCAGTGTTGTGGGATAGTGCCCTGTAGGATCCCAGCAGTGTGGCCTTTCACACCCAGCACAACACCCATCCATGCCTGGTAAGGCTACTGCCACAGAAACTTTCCCCACACTGGTGGCTTGCTATCTGGAGTGCAGGCAGCAGCGCTGTGCCTCTCGAGGCCAGGCCAGGAGTCAGGGGAATAGGGAGCCAGGGAGAACCCCAGGGTCTGTCTGCGTCCAGCAGCCTCCTTCAGTAAAAATCCCCTTTATATTCACTGCAGTCCAGACCTGACCCTTCTCTTCTGCCTAGGGTGATACAGGGCCAGCTCCAGGCTTCGTTTTGATTTCCTAAGACTTCCTCTTCCTTCAGACTTAGCTAGTCTCGTCCTTTACTAACAGGTTTCCTCTTGCATTGTAGGGTGATTCCGGGGGCCCCCTCGTCTGTGGGGGCAGGGTACATGGCATAGTCTCCTTCTCCGGGCAGAGGTGTGGGAATCGCAGGTACCCAGACATCTACACTCGGATTTCCAAGTACATCTCCTGGGTCCAGGATGTGCTGAAGCGCTTTTAATACTGGAGATGAGAGCTGTGGGGGCTCCTTGTGTGACAGACATTCTGAAGAGGGGGGAGTTGGGACTGAGAAAAAGAGGGAGGGATCTTTCTCTATTGGGCAGTTAACATGCATTTCACTATAAAGTCTATGGGGTCTGGTGTTCAGGATGGGGGGAATGGGATCAGGACTCCTGCGTTCTATTCCCAGCTCTGTGAGGGACACGTGGTCTAGTGGCAACTAGCAGTCAGGGCTTCTGTGTTTTATTCCCACTTGCCCACTGACAGCTCTTGGGGTGAGTCCCTTCCTCACACTGTGCCTCAGTTTCCTCATCTGTAACATGGGGAGAAAGGTACCTCCCTCACAGGGCTGTTGAGCGCCTCATGAGTTAGTATCTGTGAAGTGCTTGGAGATGCTCAGGTGAAAGGGGTAGAGAGGTGATGCCCATGATCTTGCCTGAGATATTTCAGGACAAGCCTAGCTCTCTGGACCCACAGTTCCCTGTCCTACGCAGCCCCACGAAATGGGTGTACAGAAGGATACATGCCTTTCCCAGACTGCCTGGAGGATCATCACCTAATCCACGTATGCTGCTTGATGTAATACAACAGCCCAGGTGGGTCAGCTGCACCCAGGATTGAACTTGCAACCTTTGGATCTGAGCACACAGGCCTCTATGGACTGAGCTAGAAAAGCCACCTCTGTGTCCACTTCACAAACCTCTATGTAGCCCAGCCACTAGCGGTGACACAGACCCCCACTGTTGGCCTGAGTTACACCGAAACCCTTTTCACTGTGCTGTCCCAGACAGCCACCCCAAGGCAGCGTGGGCCCCACTCTCACGCTGACCAGCATCAAAGCCTCTGGGCCCGCAACGCTGGAGCGTTCCACTTACACACCTCTGCCCAGCTGGCACCTGAAAACCTGGCAGAGGCTGATCCATCCCGTTACCTCCATTGACACCTGCCCTGTGGTCTAGTATCCCTCCAGCCATCACCCTGCAGGGACAGAAACGCTTCGCTGGGAGAAGCTGGAATGGCCATCACTGCTTGCGCCTCAAAAACGGGTTCCTCCCCGAGCTCGGGCCCCGTTTGTTTGCCTCTGCTGCCTTTGGAGATTTCCAGCCTAAGGAGGCAGCGGGGTGGAGCTACAAACAAGGAGCCTGCCCAGGCCTCTCCCCAGCCCTGTGTGCAAGAGGCAGCCACATGCTTGGTCCTTGCAGCCCTGGCATGCACGGGGTGAGCCCTCTGCACTAGTAGGAATTGAGGGGAAGGGGTTCATTGCACCAGGATAGCTGGGACACCCAGTCTGGGCCTGTAGCTGGGGCAAGCCTTGGAGCAGATCCTCAGGAGCAGTGACTCTCCAACTGCACTCCGTGTTAGGGGGTGGGTGCACCTGAGCCGGGCCAGGGGTCAGTGGATCAAGGGGGCAGGTCTCACCTCTGGAGCCAGAGTAAGAGCCCGTTGGTATGCCCGTAGCGCAAGAAGGGACCTGCTGCTCTCTGGTCTGCCAGCAGGGGGCGTATTTGGCTGCATTACTTACAGCCCGATCCAAAGCCCACAGAACTCAGCGGAAAGAGCCCCGGCACACATCTACCCTGCAAGGAAAGGGGCCGGGATGGAGACAGCCTCGCGGCATCAAGGACGAGCACAGGCATAGCCTGTGAATGCGACGACGTAGCATTTGTCTGGCTGCGGCTAGGGGGCACTATGCTGCTAGAGACACTATTTCAGAGGCGACTGACGCCCCGTCCCTTTGTAACCCGTAAATAACCTCTGGCAACAGTCAGGGTGTCAGGTTAACCGCTAGCCCATACCCCCCTTCCACAGCTAGGTATAGAGCCAGCAATCCTGCCCCCCCGCCCCCCCAATCCTGCTGAAACCACTAGATCACACTGCCTCCCCCAGAACTAGCAACAGCTGGAGACTATACACCTGTAGCTATTTATCCCTCAGAAGGACCCAAACATGAGAGGATACTTGGCCCGGGGAGGATAAGTTGGTGTGTCAAATTCTTGCCTTCTGTCCCGCCCCTCTCAACTTCTCTCTGCAGTTTCCGTTGCTTTCTCCTTCACTTCTTGACTTAAACTGTTGGGTAGTGTTCCGGCAAGACTGTTAAACAGCTGCCACCTTCCACCCCAGAGGTGGGTGCATCCCAGTGGCGGACAAAATGATCAGTATTTCTTACTTCTCCCAGGGTGGGGGTGTGCAAGTTAATGGGCTCATGGCTGTAAAATGCTTGGAAATAAAGAGCACTGAGGGGATACAGCCTGTCTGCAATGATTGACAGGTCTGCAGTCCTTGGGGAGGGTGGTTGTGGCTTGCAGGTGTGGCTGGTGTCCCATTAGGCCTAGACTTAGTCCCCCTGCCATGCAAGGTATCGTACTCCAGATATTATTTACAGGCATTTCTATGGGCACCTTGTGGATACTAACAAAATTAGGCCTCCCAGAAGGATTATTTACTCCTGGGGAGTTCTGTGCCACTGTGCATGCACAGAATTTATGTCCCCCGCAGATTTATTTGTTTCCCTGTAGAACAATGACTTTCTGATGAGGAAGCAAAGGGAAGCCACAAGAACGGTCATGTGACCCTCCCCAGCAGTATGTTTTGGGTGACCAGGGCAACTGGCAGAGAGGTAAATCACTGTGGGGCAGGAGGCGGAACTGGGGGAGACCCGGCTGGTGGCTCCTACCCTGCACCAGGCTCAGCTGCTAGTCCAGGCTGGGCTGGGGAGGACAGGACTTCCTCTTCCCCTGCAAGGCAACCAGGGCCAGGTCAGACCTACCCCCAGATTTCTCCCCCGGCTGCAGGAAGCTCTGCAAACTTGCCCCCCCCCCCCCCCCCACAAACATACTTCCTGCACCCATTGTTCCTCAGCTGCAGGGGGAAGGATCCCTGTACAGGGAGCTGCTCCCCGATCTGCCCAAACCCCGTGCAACTGGATCCCCTCATATCCGGACCCTCCTGCCAAGCCTCACCCCAGCACACTCAGAAACCTCCTTATGAGCCCCACTCACCCTGCACTTGGATCACCCCAACAAGCCACACCCAGATCCCCACCCCACGAAGCCCCAACCTGTTGCACCTGGGTCCCCAACCCACTGAGCCCGCCACACCCAGACCCCCCGGCTGAGCCCCAACCACCTTCACGTGGATCCCCCTGCAGAGTCCCATAACCACTGCACCCACAACACACCCCTGTGCATCCAGATTCCCCACACACACCGGGATCCCCCATTGAACCGCCTGCACCCAGACTGCCCCACACAGAACCCTCTCAACCCAAATCTGGATCCCCCCACACTAAGCCCCTCCACACTTGGATCCTGCCTTGCTGAGCCTGCCTGGCACGGAGGGGCAGGGCCCTGGGGTGTTTCTGGGGCAGGCCCAGGCATTGCGCTGTGTCAGGGTTGGGTGCAGCCTCACCGCTGAGTCCGTGTCCGAGGGGGAGCGGAGGGGAGGGAGCTGCACAGTGACCTCCCACCTCTGTGCAGCCGGTGGCCTGTGCTCCCCAGTGCCATGCTAGAGCCTCCACATTTATCTGACAAATAAAATTTGCCAAATTTTAAAATATTGTGCACAGAATTTTAATTTTTTTGGCGCAGAATATTTAATTTTTTGGCGCAGAATGCCCTCAGGAGTAATTATCCTCTCCATTTTACAGATGGGGAAACTGAGGCACAGCTTGGGGCAGAGACTTGCTTAAGATCACTAAGTGAGTCAACGCCTCCTCCAGAAGCCTTTCATCCCTGCCTCGGCGTATCCAGCAGCCCCTGCCTCTGCTATTCCCCCCCCAGACAGAGAGAAGGGAAGTGGGCTGGTGCCTTCCGCCCCCCAGGAGGAGTTGTACCTTGGTGGCCGGTGGTGTCGTGTGCTGGGGCAGGCTTTGGCATCACCCATCGCACAAGCTGCACCGCCGGGGGCTTGTTTCCACCTCCCCCTCCATTTCTCAATCCCCCCTGCAATGACGCAACTGGCGACAGTGGTCAAACGAGCCGAGACTCCTTCTGGGACCTGGCTGGCCACCAGCACAGGCCACACATAATGCGGGTGGAAAGGGAGCCGCTGCTGGGGGCTGATGTTGCTTTCCTGTTGGACGTGTGGTTGGGCTGATGAGCCTGGGGATGTTACCTGCCCAGTGGGGGGGCTACCCAGTGGCCTCTGGTTCTTGAGTCACACAGAACAAAGCCCTCGGGGCTCATTCCTGAGCCCCAGCCAGCTGGGTCAGTGCCCCCTACCCCAATCCCCAGCCAGATCCTGTAGCTGACAATTTCCCTAGGGGTGGAATTAGATATCTATTAGCTTGGCCCCAGAACAGCTGTGGGGGGGGGGCGGGGAGGGGGGAAAGCAGCCAGCTTGTAAAGCTAATGCAGGGAAACTGGAGCTGAACGCCTTGCTCCGCCTTCAAGCAGCCAACCAGTCACCTGGGCTGGGAGTGCTACTTCCAGGAGACCACACAAGAGGAGGTGATGGGCGCATGGGCATCAATGGCTATTAGCCAGGATGGGCAGGGATGGTGTCTCTAGACTCTGTTTGCCAGAAGCTGGGAATGGGCGACAGGGGATGGATCACTGGATGATTCCCTGTTCTGTTCATTCCCTCTGGGGCACCTGGCATTGGGCACTGCTGGAAGACAGTTTTGTGTGTGGTTTTTGGAGGGAGGTGGGGGGGGGTGAGAAAACCTGGATTTGTGCTGGAAATGGCCCACCTTGATTATCATACACATTGTGAAGAGAGTGGTCACTTTGGATGGGCTATTACCAGCAGGAGAGTGAGTTTGTGGGGGGGGGACCGAGGGTGAGAAAACCTGGATTTGTGCTGGAAATGGCCCAACTTGATGATCACTTTAGATAAGCTATTACCAGCAGGAGAGTGGGGTGGGAGGAGGTATTGTTTCATGGTCTCTGTGTATATAATGTCTTCTGCAGTTTCCACGGTATGCATCCGATGAAGTGAGCTGTAGCTCACGAAAGCTTATGCTCAAATAAACTGGTTAGTCTCTAAGGTGCCACAAGTACTCCTTTTCTTTTTGCGAATACAGACTAACACAGCTGTTACTCTGAAACCTGCTGGAAGACAGAATACTGGTCTAGATGGACCTTTGGTCTGACCCAGTTTGGCCGTTCTTATGTTCTTAACCAGTTGGGATGCATCATCCCCAAGCAGGCTTGGCTTGCAATAGGCTCCAGGCATGTTAAAATAACCCAGAGAGCATCCCATGGACACAGAGACCCGCACCCTTTACCCCCTGCTGTCTTACTCTGTTCCTGGGGAGGGGATGGAGTAGGTAAGGTAAAGGTAGCTTTAAGTCATCTATATGCTCCCCATCGTCTGAGGCTCCCTGCCCAGTGCTTGGTGTAAGTTAGAGCAGCCTCAGGAATAGAACCAGGACTCCTAGCTCCCAGTCCGCTGCAGTAGCCACTAAACAGCACTCCTCCCAAGAGCTGGGGAAAGACACCTTTGCTGCAGTCCTTTGCTACAACGACTAGTCAACACTGCCTCTCCCAAGCCACCCCACGCTGACATACTGCCTACTATGATCTGCATCGGGAGGCCCATCCTGTTAAGTCACAGCTTCTAATCCTGGCTACCTCTGGGCCTTGCACTGAGGCTGGGACTGCCAGCCCCACGGCTCCTTTCATAGGTGCAGACTGAATGCAGAATGCTGATTCGATGACCACGCGGCCAGGTGCCCCCTGGTCAATGACAGGCCATGCCCAACGTTGCACACAGCTCAGACACTCCTCAATAGCCCATGAGCTATAGGATGGGGATAGCATGGGGTTAGCCAACACCATCATGATCTAGAGAGGCCTGAGAAGAGGCAGAAGGCGGCGCAGACTGGAGATAATGATGTCTTCGTCTTTTGAAGTCTGGAGGGAAACTGTGATTTTTCAGGACAGAGACTGATCGGGGAGATGGTGTCTAGTTTGGGAGGTCTCCCACCATTGCAGTGGCCCACGCCCACCTGTCTTGTCTCGCTGCCTGGAGCTCAGCTGGAGTTTGCCTTTCACTTGCCTGCAAAGCCATCGTACCTCCTTGTGGAACAAGTGACCCTATTCCAGATACACTGAGATTTCTCTGCTCCCGCCCTCCTGGCCACACTGAACCAGGAAGCAGGGTCTGAGCGGGAGGCAGCTGCACCCACCTCTCGAGGCGCGAGCTGTAGACCTCCCGGCTGGCAGTTCCATGGCAGGGACGAACGGCGGCCCCATGCTCCAAAGAGCGGCCTGGCCCAGCCGAGTGACCCGTGTGCAGGAATCCCAGCTGAGTCATCCACTCCCGGCCAGGACTGGAGCCAGCCGGCTTCCACTGGGGCCCTAAACCTTGCAGCTCGTAAACAGCACTTCTCCGGCCACGTGTGAAGCAGCTGCTGTGCCGTGCTGGGTCCAGTGCGGCATAGGGCTGGGAAGCCCCAGTTAATTGCATCAAGCGACACCTCTGGGAATCAGGCCCTACAGCTCTCAAGCTGGACACCCACAATCAGGGGCCACTTCTGAAAATCTTCGCCCCAGCGAATGCCCCATACAAGCCTATCAACCCTGCAGATGGTCTTGTGTGGTTAAGGCACTGGGATGGGAGGCAGGAGAACTGAGTTCGCTGCCCTGCCACCGACACAGTGAGTGACCTCAGGTAAGTCACTTCATCTCTCTGGGCTTCAGTGCCCTGGGGATAAATTGGGGAGTATAATCCCTCCTTTGTCTATCGACACTCAGCTCCTCGGGGCAGGGCCTATCTCTTACACCGTACCACACCTATGGGGCCTTGGTTGGGGCCTCTAAGTATTACGGTGATACATACAATAAAAATGTCTCTGGCTCGTGAGCTGGGGGAGAATGGATGACTTGGAAGGGGTTTAATGGGCCCAGCCCACGCTGTCAATGACAAAGGTGTTGCATCCTGGTGGCTGTTTGCCATTCTAGGTGGCATGAGTTTGGCAGGTCTCAGTCAAGTTTCCAATAGACAAGTGCCCCCATCACAGCTGCATGAGGGAACAATTAGCACTTGCAACAGAGAGAGGCCCAAGACTGAATGGGCACTGGAAAGCAATCCCTCCTCCCCCAGGCCAGGGGCCAGCAGAGGCCCTTTACGGGAGAGGTGTTGCCCTGGCACGGTCTGTGCTGCGGATTAGCAGAGGCCTCCAGCCTCCCAAGGCTGTCAAAACCCAGCAGTAAATTCACACCCAGCGGGCTGACCGGAAAAGGAATGGGAGTCTGGAGCGGGCCTCGAGGAAAAGAACAAAGGCCTCTCTTGTGAAACCACAGCCCCTCTGCCCCTGGCTCCTGCACCCACCCCCCACCAGCAGACAGAAGAGAGAGCCAGCGATCCCTGGGCTGGCAGCGAGGCGAGCGCTGCAGTGACATACTGTATTTACGCAGGTGGACGTGGGGTGAGCTCTCGGCCCTGCCCCTGAGCCAGCCAATGTCTCATCATCGCTCTCTGTGCAGGCCTGGCTTTCCAGGGGCAGAGAGGGAGAATGCTATGCAGAAAAGACACAAGGGCAGGCTAGCCAAAGCACCTAAGGGACTGAGGAGCATGAATGCTACCAATGGCATGTAGGCGCCTAAGTCACTTTTGAAAATCTCCACTGCCAGCACACGTAGCTCTTTCAGCTGTAGATCTTAGAGCACTTTCCAGGGTCATGATCCTCCCTCTAGAGAGGGGGAAGTGACTTCCCCAAGGTCACGCAGCAGATCAATGGCAGAGTCAAGAATAGATCTTCTAGTACAGAGCCCTAGCCATTAGATAACACTGCCTCCCAAAAAAACCATGGGGCAACCTTTGGTTCTACAGCCCAGCTGCAAACTCCCGAGTCCCCTTCAGTCTGTTCTTCCCCCACCTATCGTTTGTGTAGAGCAGGATGCCTCACCCCTGGAGCCAAAGGCTGGAGCATTTCTCCTCCTCCCTCTCTGCCACAGGGCGTTGGTAAACGCTTCCCAACCTTACCGTGGGGCTGCACTAGACAGCCATTAATGAAAGTCCTGGAGGATTCAGGTTTAGACCCAGATTCCAATCCTCCATGCTTGGAAGGGGTGGGGCATGGGGTTGTATGGAGTGTGCATCTAGCGTCTAGGTCCAGGGTTCTAGTCCAGGCCCATCCCAAGAAACCAATGGCAGTTAGGAACCTAACATGCAGAGGCATTTTGAAAATCCTCCTAGGCACCTACCTGTATCATTAGGCACCTAAATACCTTTGGAAATCTAGCCCTTCATCACTCTGTCTCAGGTGCCCGTCTGTAGATATTCTGCTCCCATCTTGAGTCTGTCTTGTGTACTTAGACTGTCAGCTCTCTGGGGCAGGGACTGTCTCTCACTATGTGTACATACAGCACCTAGCCCAACAGGGCACTGACCCTGGCATGGGCATCTAGCACTACTGGAATACAAACACATCATAAGAGTGCTTCTGATGGCAACACACTGGGCTGCAATAAATTGAGACACTGATCCCTGAGCAGCGAGGGCATTTCTGCCTGGGAACAGCTCCCTGTAAAAAAAGCAGTAAAGGCCCAGATCCCCACAGGTATGGGAGTCCAAAGGCCCTATGTTCTCCTCCCTCAGAATCCCCTCTGCCTTGATGCCTACAGAACACAAGGCGATGGGCGTGTTTAGTCCACTGCTTATTGTACTAACCACGATCAGTACACTTTTGCCTTGCCATTTGTTCCACGTGGTCTCTTGTCGCACGTTAGCTTTGCTAAATCTTTGGGGCAGGGACTGTCCTATTTTTCAAACTGCATTTCCACCATATTAATCAATTACAAATGAATTAATTACACTGCCAGCAGCCAGCCAGGGGAGAAGCTTGTATTTTTCACCAGGATTTCATTCTCAGTATTGTTACTAAAGGAACAAGGGAAAGCTCCAGATCCCTGGGCAAAGGTGCTGCCAGACAGGATGGATTAATCAAAGGAGGAAAGAGCTAGCCACACACAATACACACTGTAAGGTAAAGTTAGATGCAGCCCGACCCTGACATGCACCTCCCTGGTGAGCTGAAAGCATTTGGATTTAATCAGAGAGAGAACAGAAATAACAACAGCAAAACAAGCCACAGGCCCCAGACGCAAGTTCCAAGAGATTCTACTTCTCTAAGGAGCCAGCTGCCTTTTGGGAACATCTTGTGATTTATACTTGGATTGTAAGCTCTTTGGAGTAGGGACTGTTTTTGTTCTGTTTGTACAGCGCCTACTGGAATACGAATAATGGTTATATTATGGTAGCATTCTAGATCAGGGACCCTGATGCGAAGAAGAGCTGGGCAGGGAATGTATTTCCTGTCCGGCAAAATTTGTCAAGATTTCAAAAAACTTTCTTATTCCGAATCAGGATGAGAAGTGGAAATCTCAAAAATTTGGCAAACTGAAAATCTGGAAAAAAGTCACTTTGGGTCCACTGAAATGTTTCAGTTGATCATTTCAAAATGCTTATTTCAGTTTCAACATTTTTTATTTTAAAAAGCCTTTGACTATACATTCACTTACGTTTTAAAAGAAAAAGTTTTGTTTTGAACTAAGAAAAGGAGTACTTGTGGCACCTTAGAGACTAATTTGGTTAGTCTCTAAGGTGCCACAAGTCCTCCTTTTCTTTTTGCGAATACAGACTAACACGGCTGCTACTCTGAAATTTGTTTTGAACTGAAATTGGATCTTTTCATTTCAAAACCGTCCAAAATGGGACACTGACAATTTCTAAACCTTTTTTTTTTATTTCCAAATTTTTTCAGAATGGGAAATGTGTTGAAATCAACCCTTTCCCCTGAAAAATTTCCCAACCAGCTCGATCGCTAAGCATTCGTACAGTTCCCTGTCCCTGCCAGATAAGGAAACCAAGACACAGAGAGACTGAGTGAGCTACAGTAAGAGAATTTAAGGCCAGAAGAGACTACCCAAGCATCAGAGTAACAGCCGTGTTAGTCTGTATTCGCAAAAAGAAAAGGAGGACTTGTGGCACCTTAGAGACTAACCAATTTATTTGAGCATA